CTCCAAAACCCCAAAACCCCAAAACCCCAAAACCCCAAAACCCCAAAACCCCTTCAAGCAGTCTGAATATTGAATAAATGATAATTTAGCATTAACATTCGATGAAAAATAATGATTACTAAGAGGGTTTTGAAAGATAAGAAGCCTCTAGTCCCTACTTGAAAGAAGAAATATTTTGAAATAGGGACTGTAAGTGGGCATTCTTGTTCAAGATTGAGTAGGCCTCTGACAAGCTTATTTTGTTAGACTTGTGGTCTTCAGAGATGCTCTCTTTTCTGTCAGTTCTCCCCTCTGAAGATTGAACGGTATTGACATCATCCTTACCTTCTGGGTTATCCCCTTCAGGAGTTTTGATGTCATCAAAATTTTCTTTTGGCTCGTCACCTCTGTGGGTAAAAGTACCTACTCCTATCGGAGAGGAGGGAGCTGGAGCTCCCTGATTTAGCTTAAATTGGGAAATCATATCTAATAAAAGCTTTGAATTAGTTTGCTGCAGAAGAGCGTGATTTAGGCTCTCCTGCTGCTGTCTCATAGTATTCTCTCTGTTGAGAAGAAGATGAAGCAGCAATTGGTTATTATTTGCTTGCTGGGCAGGCAAATTAGCGCCTAGTAGGCTTGATGGTTGAGAATAAAACCATTTATGAACAACTTTGGAAAACTCCTTCACAATAAATTTGATAAGAAGGAGGATATCCTCATCGCTATACTTCTTTACATGGTGTGGATCGGGTCTGTTCTTGCTCAAATCTATTCCTTCAACAGGTTTAAATGGAATTTCTGGCTCTAACTCTGGTTGTACTTCGCTTTCGGCTTCCTACAGGAATTGTTAGACATTTTTGATATAATTCCCAGAATTTTAGAAACATATCTGAAAAAGATATGAAAACAGGGAAAGATTTTATAATGTATATTGATTTCTCTTCTATTTTCTCTCAAAAACTCTCTACATTGGTCTATGTGTAGAATGGCAGGAAATTCAGGCAGTAACAGGGTTTGAATAAAATATTTAAGAGATTAAATCTGCCGAGTAACATGCAATAGTAAGCTTTAGGTTAGCAATAGCAGGAGTTTTATAAATGAAAGACTGCTGATAACTGTGACGTTTACCTTAAGCATTTGCTTGATTTCTCTCTTCTTAGATCTTTCATTTAATAATTTTAGTGTCTCTAATTCTTCCTCTTTGATATGGTCACCTAAAAATGATATGAGAAAAGATTTAAAGTGAATCAGATAGAAAAATTAGATGGTGATTTACCTTCTAAAGTACTTGTTTTATTCAGTTTATTGATCTTGCTGAACCATTTTTGGGCATGGCTTCTAATCTGGGCTCCATTTCTGGTCTTGACTAGTGCTTCTATCTTCTTCCAGTCCTTTCCATACATTTTGAGCCCTACATAGACATTAGTAAATGGGTCAAAAACATAAAATATAGAAATTTGGAGATTTTATTTATCCAATAAAACTAAAATTTTAGCTGCTACGTTTGGTAGTGGTTAACAGAAAGAAAATTATCTTGAAATGGAGATTCAGATTGAGCATAGACTTAGCTTATTTCGTATCCCAACGATGTCTAGAGAGCAAAGTGACCATCATAGTGAGACACATATTCTTTCTGCTAATGAAACACTACAAGAGACATAAATTTGGACAATTTGAATTAGATTTGTAAATCTATTAAAAGAATTTTCGGATTTGAGTCTGATATTCCTGGGAAATTCCTACAGTTTAGAGATAGGAAAGACAGGGTTTTGGCAGGAAATCAAGCGTCTCTCCTCATTTTCCTTGTAAACCCAGGTCTCTACAGGACTATCTACCAAGATTTCTTACTAAATGACGTCCTTCTTATTAGCTAATTCAGGTAAAAAGTAGTAAGTGGCTTCTATAAGAATGAAAGTTACAGATTCGCCGTAGACTATACATAGCCAAATTTCTATTTTTCCACCATTTTCTACTACACAAAGCTAATTTTCAAAGTAAAATTTATAGAGTAAACCTTTATTAGAAAGAACTCCGGGCATTCCTTTAGAAAAGTAAGCTTTCAGGGGAAGAAATTATGAATTATAATAGACAAAGATATGAAATTTAGTAAAAAATTTAAGCCACCAATTAACTTTCAAGTGAAGTCACTTAAAACACTAATACAACCGGTTTTATCTAGGCCTAAGTCCTTCCTACTTGCCACGATAGGAAGGAGATAAGAGATTCAAATTATAGAACAGGCTCAAAAGTGTGCCTCAGAAAAACATAATCTCGAAAGGAATATTCTTATTGGCTCATATCACCAACTCAACTTTTACCAATTCTTTAGGCGGCAACCTAAGGCTTATTTCTGAGTGAAAATATTGTCCGAGGAGACTCATTGGCCATTGTAGATATACATTGACTTGAGAAGACTTTAACTATTATCGAGTATTGCAAATCTACTCGGTTTTACTTCAGATTAGCCCCAAAACAGTTGACAACTATTGATCACCCTAAATTCCGAAGAAACGCTATTTCAGCTGGAGTGCTTACCTTTAATGAAGTCATCATGCTCAGACTTTTTCCATCTGCCGACTTCTTGGTTCTCTCTAACTTTACACTTGAACTGCTGTTGCTTTGAGGAATCTCTTGACTTTTCAGAGTCTGTAGAGGGCTGCATTTGTCCTGTTTTGGAATAAATATTTTAAATAAACCCAATTTCTCTCGTTTAAAAAGGGGTTTTGGGGTTTTGGGGTTTTGGGGTTTTGGGG